AGTATTTTCGTCGCTAAACTTAAAATTAAAATTTTATCAAAATCTTCCCTGAAGTAGAGGCATGAAATTAGGTCGTGTATTTTATTTATCTACCTGAAACATCTACTTTCAGGAAATTTCTCCGTTTTTAATAACTTATAACCAAAAAACTACTAGTTTATTCATATGTAAGTTCCTGTTATTTATTTGTAATAGAAATAAAATATTATATATGTCTGCTTGATCTTCTGCTGAATTTCAATACATTATTGTACATAATACAACACGTTTAACATGATTTTTATTATTTTTACAGTCCTCGAAATCGTTGAAAAATAATAATAATAAAATATAACTAATGCTATTTCGTCATTAATAAACGATCCTAAATAAAAATTCGTTCAATAATTTCATACATAAATGATCGACACTTCCAGGTTACATCACTTTTGCCATATGATGTTAGTGTAGTAACTCTATTTTGCCGACACTCTGTAGTGAAGTGTTTCACTGACGGTAAAACAAAATATCAAAGTTAGAATAGAGACTTACCTTAACCCCTTGACATACAAATTAAATGGAACTTAATGCGACCAAAAAATACTATTTAATTTCGCTCAACTGAACGGTTACGTGAAAGCTGAGAAAGAGTACATTTTATTTTGAAATTTGGATTTTTATTAATCAGATTGATGTTAACAAAGAACATCTAAATAACATTAAAAAATAATAATTTAATAGTTCTGTACAGTATGGAATATTTCGAAACATTTTGGAACATGTAAAGGAACTAAACATTTTTTGCACTGCCACGTTGTTTCACTTCTTATGTTGTTTTTTACGCACACGCGGCATCTCTTTGTAGGTAATTTCTCATCGTCACTTTCATATAATGCATTCGACTTATACATGTTACAGGGATTATTTATAATCTTTACTAAACTCAAATATTGGCTAGTATAACATTCACTGTGCGAGACTCCTGCTAAACTGAATGTTACTTTGAGTGTGCTCCTTCTTATATGTTTGATGCTTTTTTGTTCTTGAGCCATCTCGAACGTTATAAACAAACGAGAATCGACGCACGAGTGAAGCAACTATGTAATCTAATTGTAAACTGCACGGCGTCCGCCGAAAAAAGCGCTTGACGAGTCAGACTCGTCAAAGTCTACAGTGGCCCATGAAATGAAGTCATTCATTAGTCAGTCATTCTGATCACGAGTCAGACTCGTCGTTGTATGTCAAGGGGTTAATGTATAATGCTTTACAGCGCTTGTTATACTCGCTGCTTCGAGCACAAGTAGATCATATTCTTTCAGGTTCGTCAATTTCCCGTTGCAAATATTTTTCCCACTAGATTATAAGTTCGAAAGCAATTTGTATCTCATACTTAAAATCCGAAAAGTTATCTCGCTACTGATAAAATACGATCGCACTGTTACGTCCTGCGTGGCTTGCGAACAACGAATCTTTTTTTTGATTAGAAAACAGACGCGTTTAAGCAAGCGATACCCGGAAATAAAAACTATAACGTGACATAGTCAAAGAGGTCAACCTGATGTGGAAACGTTAGGCCGTCAATAAAACTTAGATTCAAAGGTTAAAAATAAGGATAAGATCATAATAACGCGTCACTAAATACGTCATGTGTTTTCCAACGCGTCTATTATACGAATAACGTAAAGCAAAGCGCAGCAATCCTCCTTTTCGCCTTCACGTGCGCCCTTTATGAGGTACATAGTCTAAGCGGTCAATCGGATGTGGGCCCTTCGATAAAATTTAAATTCAAAAGATTATTTATGAAATCCCGATAATGTCAAATGTTTTCCAAATCGTCTGTTCCACAAACTGCATTGGGAAACTTCCCAATCCCCTAAATCTCTCTTCCATGAAAATTGCCCTCATTGGCAATCGTCATCTTCCACTCCTAAAATTCTCCCTATAAAAACCCTACTCTCTTGCCGCCGCGACACACTCTACTTTCTGACTAACTCTCTGTGGCAGCCGGAATCAGTCTCGTAGTAAACAGTCTCTCTAAATACTCCACGATATTTCTTTAGTAAATTTGCCAAGTGAAAAAATCTCTCGACTCGACATTTCGACATAGTGCTACGATTCTATCGTCGCGAGTGCATCTGCCATCCAGCCGATTCGTCCACAAATTGAGTCACGAGACGACAGCTCAAGTCAACTCTCTCTCCTAGGGATCTCAGAAATCCTGTACACCATGATCTACGAACCCATGTTCTACGTACTATTCACCACAGTCGATCCACCTAAATTATAAGTCTCTATTTCATATTTAAACATGACTTTTAATCATTTCAATCTAATCTCCAATCCCACTTTCCTCCTTAAACGCACACATCCACTGCGTAATTATTATCTTCCTTGAATTATATAATGTTGTTTTTCTCACTATACCGATATGTTAAACATTCTTGTCACGTTAAATCCGATTGTATTACATTAAGTTACACGGATTACCGAATTTACTTAATTTTACTTTAATCTTCATCTTTTATTTGCATTATTCCAATAATGCTGATTTATAAAAGTTTGTTTAAGGTTAACCCATATTTCTCATTGTTTAGCTAACCATTTCATCTTTTAAATATTGTATCTTTTACAATGACTTTTTTCATCAATTTATCACTATTGTTAATTCATGTGAGAACAAAATTATGTTATTAACATACTTAATAAACTGTTTTATTCAAAATGCCCGAAATTTAACTAAGTTGTTAAATTTATTCATTCATTTCCTTTCAATTAGTTCAATCAGAATTCTCCTTTCAACAATCTTATATGGCCCTATCCCAGGTAAAGAGATTAAGTTTTTTGATCTAAATAAAGAACCACCTTACGAACGTTCTGCGATCGGAATAAATGGGCCTCTCCGGACCTTAACCTGATCTGCAGACCTGCTAGTACGCGATGTTTGTTGCGTATATCCTCTTCCAGGACGTAACAGCACAATTAGTTTCATTAAGTGGGTAAAACTTATTGTGGAACAAACTAGTTTACCTCCCGAGTCCGCGGATAATTAAAGAGTGCTAATATTGATCGATGCGGTCAAAGAGTGTGAAATAATTTTGCAATTTCGATAATATTTTATGAAACTTACTTATCGTTGTAAATTTTATTGTATTGTCGACAATAATTTTTTACTTACATCAAGGAATATTTTACACCAAACAATGTTTTATGATTAATTTACATCAAATTAGAACTGATGAACGTCCCGTTATTTCCGCAAGAATATTAATAAATACACATACTTCCCGAATGCAGAGTCTATTTTATTGATTTCTGGCACGTTCTTCGAATCTACCTACTTCTGAATAAGCATTTTCCGTTTCAAGATATTGTTATTGATTTTGTCCATCAGCACTTACGACTATCGAAAAATAAGGAGATCAAAATGAACAACGTTGTATATTTGGGCAAATATTTGGATGACATCCAATGAAAAATTACAGCTACGAGGAACGAATTTGTGACGTATATACGTAATATACTGTGCATTTCTCGTGAAATGTATATTTCAAGAATTTATTTTTTCAAGACATCTCTTTCATTTCAACGCGTTTCACCTGCGGGATTAGTGTTGTAGTTTGTCGTTTAAAAAACGACGCAGAGTGAGCGAAACTTGAAACCTTAATAGTACGAGCGTCGACTAGCTCGCTTCACAATTGGACTCAATGCCACGTAATTGACAAAAAACGAATCATATTTCTCTCAATTGGCGAGGAATTAACCGTATGGTTAACCTACTCGCTAGTATGATTAAAACGCTTATTCATTTCCTTTCAATTACTTCAATCAGAATTCCCCTTTCAACACTCTTATATGGTCCTATCCCAAGTAAAGAGATTAAGTTTTTTGACTTAAATAAAGGATTCATCTTACGTACGTTCTGCGATCGGAATAAATGGGCCTCTCCAGACCTTAACCTGATCTGCAGACCTGCTAGTATGTTTAGGCCTCGCGAGTACGCGATGTTTGTTACGTATATCCTCTTCCAGGACGTAACAGCACAATTAGTGAATCATTTTATTTTTCACAGTATCTGAAGTGCAATCAAATATTGTTCTATATTTAATGGAGTTGTTTGCAGATATTTAACCCTATAGAATGTTATTCTGCAAACAACAATATTTGAAGGGTTTCAATTATGCAATGTATATTTTATAACAATTTCTTGTAAATATATATCACAACACGCCACGTAACTATTATATTTCATTATTATATTTGAAAGACGGAATATGTATTTAAAACAATTTATTTTCTTGCATGGTTTTATTTCATTCTTAAGCTAAATATTTAGAACAATATCTTTCTGTGTATAATCGCAGCATTAATTAAATTGAAGAATTTATTCTGTTTAAAAAATTAGACATATTTCTCTCTGGACCTTGGAATATTTCCAAGAGAGAATAAAGATCTTAAAATATGAATCTTCATAAGTAGAAAGTCAGAACTCGAAGGAGAAATTAAAAAATCAGCACTAGGTCCGAAGGGCCCTGATGATGTGCCGAGGGTTGATAAATCCCCAACGTCCAGTTGGGAATTCCCATTTTCCGAGTGACAATTCCGCGTTCTCGTTTCTCCGTCTTTCAAACTTCGCAGGAAATCAACGGCGAGGTGCGCATGCGCTTCCCCTTCATAATAGACCGGTCCGCTCCTTACCTTTCTTTCCTTCCTGCGTAAAATTGATCCATACATTTCCCCCTTCGTTAACCGTACGATTGATTAAGCTTTTCGCGATTACTTCTGCCTCTCGTGAGCTTCGACGCGTTGAATAGCTACTGCTATCGGTGTGAAAAGCCCGGTCGTGCAACGGCTTGCTGCGTCGGTATAGTTACCGCAACGTGAGCACGTGGCACGGACTAGCGACTCCGCGACATATTGATCGACCTGAATCCGCGCTTCGTTCGGCGCGGTCGCGTTCTCGCGCGCGTCAGTTCCGTAAAAGCGCTTGTACGCCGTCGCTTTTACAGCGTACAGTAGCCGCGGCGGCCGCGTAGTCGCATCGTGGCGTCTCGCGAAACTGCATCGTGCTGCATTCGTGCCCTCGTTTTCGCACGCGTCTCTTCTCGTCCGCATCACCGATCGCATTGCTACGCACCGACGGCGACGACGACGACGACGTCGACGACGACGACGACGAGGGCACGTCGACAGATAAACAGACGGACGGACAGACCTGCGCCAGCTTGCTCGTGCACGAAAAGGGTGTAGGCGCAGAGGGGTGTGCGGAACTCTCACGCTGCAGGGTCAACAATCGAATCTGAAATCGCGGGACGATACACGAACGATGACGACGGCTGATAGAGGGAAATAGGCGAGCCTCGTGTACCGAGACTTCGAAAAGAGGACTTCGTCGGTTTTACCACTGGAGAGAGAGGGAGAGAGAGAGAGAGAGGGGAGGAGGAGAGAGAGGGAGGGAAAGAGAGACAGGGAGAATTAACTGTTCCGAATAGAAAAGTGGTGCGAAACGGAAGAAGTATGTGCGAATTTGTATTTAGGTTTACGAATGCGTTTAAGCGCGCTTTACAGCCTGGTTTACGGGGGTACGCGTAACGTACTTCTGATTTCGTGCAGCCTTGGCCCACATTCAGATCGTTATGCTTAGCGCCGAATGCGGCTAACCGACCGAGTGGAAAGTGTGTTCGGCGACGTGTAATTTAAAAAAAAGGAGGGGGGCAATTCGAAACTTCGCGCAAATATAGGAAAAATGGACGTGTCGAGTTAACTTCCGGTGGTGCTCTTACGCGATTCTCTCGGGGTGAAAACGTTCCCCTTAAAAAAATATTTCTTTATGTTCTTACAAATATCCCCCGAAATCATGTGAAATAACGAGAAGATGTTGAGTGAAGAATTTTACGTATATTGTGAAATGGCATGATCTTTAATTGCTTATCGCCATTGATACGGTAAGGAATAAAAAAGTTGCTATGACGCATACGACGCGCGATAAGCGAATTATACACGGTGTCCTATAACTGGCGGTGTAATCAAGGAGGTAATGATTCTGTACTTAGACTAATTTTTTTCACGTAGAATCGTTAACTCTCTGGTTGTATCATCAAATACGGGACACTGAGATTTATTAAAAATAGCATATATACACAATGTATTTAAAGAGATACCATACATTTTTACAGATATTCCACATATCGTGCGCGCGTACAAAATTAAAAAAAAAAGAAAATCTATCGCATCTCCTAATATACACGCTGTGTGCATGAAGGGCTGGAGCAATTTGCATGAAATTTAATTGGTGAGATTGAATTTAAAATTCTCGAAACAATTCAAAACAAATGGCGTTTCCAATATCTGCTCTTGAACGAAGTGATTACGCGATGCAGTTAAATTATCTCAGTATATACGATAGAAAGAGATTAACACATTTCAATTTTCTTTCGGAAGAATTATATTATTTATATTATTTAATTCTGCTAGAAAAAACTCGACATGAGAAGGTATAGAAAAGGTAAAAGGAATATTTTTAATTTCTTCGTTTTCAAAAATTGAATCTGTACAACTTTTTATTATATACAAATTGAAATTTTGTTATCTGAACTTTCTTAATTCGCGTCTTTCTATAATTTGTACCGAGCATTTCTACTAAGCATACAATTAGAACGCTGCAGTTGCCAATTTATTTTAGTTAACAATGTGAAGTTAACATCATTTAACACCATAATCAATCTCTTAATTTTAAGACGGAAATTCATAATGCAAGGCTCTGCGAGTAGTTAAACGATTTAGTGCGTTATTATTTCATCTAGCGTTATTATCTCATGCTTCAAATTACGTATTCACGTTATGATAATTTTTTAAAAAGATCGGCGTGTAAAACTGGAACGATGACGTAAATGACTCCGATGACCTGAAGTCGATAATCTTCCAATAACTGTTCAGAGAATATTAATTATAAACTAGCTAATAAACCGGCCTTTACTTAACATCTACTGAGAGTTTAACCAGTATGAATGAAAGTTCTTTTTTTTAACAAATGCAAAGAATATAAAATAAAAAGAGATACATAAAAGTTATTAAATAAAATAATAGTAATAAATTAAATTAAATATATTATTTCTAACAATTGCAGAACGAAAAGCAATTAAAATGAAAAATCTATTATTAATTATATTTATCAAGGTTATATTAATTATAATATTACAGTGAGTCGAATATAAAAATGTAACGAAACGAGAAATTAAAAAAAAAATTGAATAATTATTCTAATTATAATTTTAACGTCGACTTTGAGATTTTTATAATATTTCTCTGAACGGATTAAAATAAAATCGATGAAAAGTTTTCATTACAGACAGTACACATTGCGACACAAGATGTTAGTCCGACGCATCTTCATCCGACCGTCTGTCTTAAATTTGATTTGACGACTGATTTGTAATTTTAGGTGTCGCTCGGAGTATACAAACGAGCCAGACCCGCGCTGAATCGCGCACCGCTTGTTGCTCGAAGAAGTCTCGACATGACGCGAAGCTAGACGAGTGCAAGGAGATTTCCCCGTCAGCATGTGGACGAATCACTTGATAGTGGGTGAGTGTGCGTGCGTCCTTGCCACTTAATCTCGTAAGGCTCTTCTGTGTACGTTGAGAAGGTAACATCGCCGAGTCGAAATAGTTTTCTTATTCGCGAACGTCGAAAACGCACATTCGACATTCAGTCCCTGCGCTTTGAAATTAGAGAACACAATCGATCTACACCCACTGCTTGGAACTAGGAACGAGGGAAAAATACCGTATATTCGAAATACAGCGCGTGTGTCCTATTTACGCGAAAGCCGACGATGCAATTGATTTCTGAAAATTCGATTAATCAATGCCACTCGTCTCTGTAAAGACCAAACATGCCCGCGAAGGTATTTGAGCACTTATTTCTCCCGCTTCGCTTCGAAAAATGAATCGAACGACATTGCTGTTGTTCCAGCGGCAGGTGTAATATGTATCGAGCAGTTGACAAAATCGAAATTAACGATCGTGAAGAAAATTTTTGAGGTAGAAGTGTAAATGTTGCGTTATCACCTGTATCAAGGTATGTTCAACGTGCACGTCAAGCACGGTCAAATGACACACAAGAAGTCACACGAGGTGTCTCAGCTATCGTAGCGTTCTTCCCTTTGAACGTAGATTTGAAGGGGCAAAGTACGACTCGCGGTTGTTTAGGCGCTCGGATGATCGGTATGATCCTAGGCGGTCCAGCTGTTGAAATTAGGACGGTTTTATCTGCAATCACTATGAGTCTCTTCCTATGAGTCTAGATCGTAGGTGTTATTACGTGTTAGATCATTCAAGGCGCGTACGGCCGCTGCCTCCGTGCTGCTAGGTACGTGGACACGTACGTACGTAAGATCCATGGACAAAACTCGCGCTTGAAGAAATCTAAGGGATCACGCGAGGGGAACGAGTATATCCCTCGATGGAACTAATGATCTAATTAACTTGTGTTTAACGACATGTCTTAAACAGCGATAAAATGCTCAAATAAAAATCGAAAAACGTAGAAAGCTGGTATGTTCTTTTTTTATAAATTCATGATTTCAAATCTCGTTAGAAACGTTTACATTTTCCACATTGGCGATCTTTCAAGTTATATCGGGAAAACAAATCCTTTAGATTCGATCAAGTGCGCAGGTTTATTTCCAGAAAAGTGCGCCAGACATCTCCAGGTTCCTTTCGGTTTGCACAAACACCCTGTGAAATGTGGCACGTAACCACGTAATCACGACGATTTCGTTAAGTAGATACTACAACCATCGTAGAAGCAAAACAACGCGCTCTACTTCGCATGCATATCCTCTACTCTTTGCCACCCGTATATTCTCTTTAAGTGTACTTTTCTTCTATATTTGATACCCCACGTGTTCGCCGGAGAGCCTCAGGTAGTCCCTCGACTATACCCACGGATCCTCCGCCGCATAATAATCGCCAAAATACTTCATGCAAACACGAAAGATCGATCTAGTTATCTACAGTATCATGTGATGCAACGCGTCATTTATTCAGCGCTCCGCGATCCCCGCGCTTTGCGACTCGTTTATAAACGTCAAGTGGTGTTCTTCGCTGCGCAATGGGTATCATGCACGTACACATGGTGCAAATCTCCCTAATATTTACATAACTTTGATACCGTGTATAAGCTATTAATCCTTTGCCCTTTCCCGCTCTCGCGTCTAATGAAGTCAAGAAATAGCGAGACAAATTGTAGAAAATCTCTCTCTCTAAAAAAAAAAAAGGAGGAGTCGAATCGCTGCCTACGCTTTATTCTAAATAAAGGTCGCGTTACGCGCGTTATTTTCAAACAGAAGTGGCAATTCGCTCGCACACGCGTACGTTATATATTCTATATTTTCTCAATGTACATGTCACATACGCCGTCCTTCACAGCCCCTACTTCACCCTCGGTCATCCTTTAATAAAATATTTTACTATCGCGGCCCTTGACAACCTACAAAGGAGGCGAGAGCAGGTTCGAGGCGAGGCAAAGCTCGTTTCGACAAACGCGGACGTGTCTGCCGCACGAAGCCCACGGCCGAGTGATAACGATTAGCCTAGCTAGCGCAACTACCCAGCGATCCCGGAAGTCATAAATATCTCGGGATACGCTAGAGCCGCGCCGTAGAAAGGACAGTAGCGGTCCGTAGTAGTGATAGTCGCAGCATCCGTAGCCGGACGTAACAATAGCGCGACGATTAGCGGTGTTTTTGTCAGTAGTACCGTCGCTTTCTGTCCACTCTCTCCCTTTCTCTCTCTCTCTCTCTCTCTTTTTCTCTCGGCGTAATCTAGGCTAGTAAACCCGCGATTTTTCAGTACGACGCACCGCCTGAAGCAATAACCGATCTTTCGTTTTCAGCGGCAATTGTACTCGCGGTTGCCAACGTCTGTCATGCGGAGTGCCAGAGTGAGTGATTAAGCCAGCTTACTCTCCTCGGTGTGCCCGTGCCGTGTCGTCGGACTCGTTCGCTAGGGACACTCGATGACGAGGCTCGATGAAGCGCGTCCGCGGCCAAGTGACTCTCTCACGGAATCAGAGAACTCGCACCACGGGGTTGCCACGGTCGCAGAGCGTTTTCCGCGCCGGGAGAGAACATGCCCCGGCCCCGGAGATCGCCCGAGCTCCGAACTGGACGAGGAGAGAGCGCCGGAATTCGTTCTTGCCGAAAGGAATTCGCAAGAGAAGACCGGGATCCGGGAATTTCTTCCACAAACTCGAGCGATAGACGCGGTTTAAACGTCGGTTGCGAAGTTTACTCGTCTCGTCTGAAATCTTTGCGTTTTTTCAATACATAAAGTTTTTTAACAAAAAGTGTTATTCACAATACGATCTGTTCTAATTCGTTATCAAACGGCCTCATTTGCCGTCTAACTCGAGCACAATAGCAGCTCTATCGACGCTGTTCGCCTTTCAGTTATTCCAACGGTGTCCGCGATATCGAATCGTTCTCGATGAATCATGAAACATTGAAATTTCCTCTCAGCAGTCGACGCAATTCAGCCTTATTCTCGTCCAGTCTCATCGAGCACGACCACGACGCCGAGACACTCGGCAGTTCTCTATTGTGCCGTGAAAAACAAACGGTGCTTGATATTTCTTTCTAGAGCTCACGCGCGCGCGGGCGCCCATCGATGCGAAAGACCTTACATGAAAGATGTGCACTCGGAAAACGATGTATCGGCGAAGATCTCTGGGTACCCATCTTTGAATGATACAATCGCGCCTTTACCGGCGTCGAGTTGATTAAATGATTTCCCCGAGTTGAACAAGCTTTGCACCGGCAAACGCAATTAACCACCTCGAATTTGCTCCGAGTCGTCTTTTTTAGCGACAGCTTGTTATCTTGATACCTTGTTATCTCGAAACGAACCGACTTTTTGGCGTTAAACGTGACCGTCTCGTTAGAAAAGTAATAGAGATTTGGTCTTAACATCACACGCACATTCAACAATTATCACATTTCACAAATGTGCTTGTCGTGAATGGGACACCGAAGAGCCACATTTAGCACCAAACGCGGAACTCGTGACGAGTAATAAAAGTGGATCGAAATTTGGCAGAAGAAAATATTTTGCATTGACGAGAGACAGCCGCGTTGTCGATGCGAATCGATGACTTCGAGGCGACCCCGACTTCGTATACATTCTTTTCCGAGTGCGATAGAGGCGAGATGCACGGTCCTTGAAAATGTGTCTACTTTCACAGCTCGTTCCGTTTACTGCTACGAATGCGACTCATGGACGGACCTCAGATGCAAGGATCCGTTCAACTATACGGCGCTACCTAGGGATCAACCACCTCTAATGACCTGTAACGGATGTTGCGTTAAAATGGTCCGCAACGCAAAATCACGTGAGTGTCGTTGGTGTTGTGAGAAAATAACATTGGGAAGAATATCACGCAAAAATCCCTATGAAGTATCATATCATATAAACAAAATTTAATTTTAACGTAAAAAGTTAAAAAAATTCGACGATCCGAACGTCTTGGTCGATGGCAATAGCAAATAATTATCGGTCAATTATTATAACAAACGCAATTTTAGGTTTTTTAATTCAATTTTAGGTTTATTATAGAATCGAAATGGGACGGTAAATTTCAATCTTCCGTTAAATCAAAATTCTGTTAATCTTATATTTATATTTATATATAGTTATAGTTATAGTTATTATAGTTATATTTTCTTCCTTAAGATCAATTATATTTACAATATTTTTAAATTCAATTAATGCTTGTGCTAATAATTATTTTAATTAGATGTTATCAATTTTTATTACCAAACTTGACTGGTCGTACTGTTCCGGTATGTGGATTTATTAATACATATCTCACTTGAATTGCCTTCAAATTTCTTCGGCAGGAATTTTTATTTCTTCAAATATAACTCACCGTAAGATCAGGGAGATTTTTATTCCTCATTGCTAAATAGTAACGTAGTAAGGTGATAACGTAGTAACATGGTACGTTTATTCGATCCATTGTTTGACCACTTAGAAATAAAACGTTCATCTGACACACCGTTGAGTCATACTACTTAGAAACAAAATTCCCCTCAACGACAAGTCTGTGAGCGCCATCGAATATAATTAATAATTAATAATAATTTACTAAGTATTAAATATTTTTGAAGAAAGAAAAAATTAAAAATCAATGAATATTCCAAATTTATAAGATATAATTGCTTATCAGCGATTGATATCTTTTTCACAACTGATTCTTCTTTTTCTCAATATATAGCCCCGGTATTTCTCTCTCCACTCTATAGAATATAAATTATGGATACAACTGTATAAAATGTTTATTATTTTTCGAGACGCGGGAATTTAGTTGCTGCTTATCGTTCCTCTTTGCTTATAGCGTACGAAAGCGTGAGGAGGACCTGCACATCGCAACTACAAATAAACTTATTCATGGTGGACCACGTGTGCATGATGGAAAGTACCGGCACTGGTCACATGTGCTTCTGTGAGGAGGATATGTGCAATCGTGTACCCCCGACCTCGCGCTCGAATCCCGTACTCCTGCTGATCCTGTCGACCATCCTTGTTCTACGCTCGGCCGTCTTAGGAGCCTCAGCTTGCTTTGTAGAACGTTGCAATGATCACGTCGTATAACACCAATTAACTCGATCCACCCATCGCAGTGGCGTCCAATCATATCCTTCGTAGAGATTCTAGCGAGTCGACAACACGACCACTCGTCGGAACGAACGATCGAGCTGGCTTCGATCCCCGGAGGGGCTAGATTCCCTCCTTAGAGAGAGGTTAATGAGAGGAACGGTCGAAAGTCCGAACTATGAAAGTATTCAGGGACGATCGATCTGTCATTACATTGTTATCATTGATTTCGCGATGCGCGCGTGTTGCTGGATCGCGTAGAAGAGAAATATATTTGTACGACACAGATATTTTATCGAAGTTGCATATCTTAGAGAATGCGAACGCTGAGACTAGTTCGGCATATATCGGCTGTTGGGTAAGAAAGATAGACGGATTAGTAGAGAGCTCTATACGAAGTAGTGATCGTTCGTTTATTCTTGTATAAGGGGTCTCATTATTGCGCGCTACGGAAGGCGATAGTTCCCTTTCTTATTATATTAGTTTTAAATCGTGAGATAACATTGAATTGTCAGTTATACTTCTGACGTATTCAAAAAGCCGGAGATTTCATGAATTGAATCGTTAATGAATATCGTTAGGCGCAGAACCCACTCTCTCGTTTAGAGATTTTCGATAAGGGTTGAAATCGTCGCGATAACATTTGCACGATTGATGGACGAGATTCGGTCTTCTCGTCCTCCGTCGCGAGAATCGCTCAGTCTGTGTGCGTCGTTCGTTCCGATCACTGGCCTTAGACAGCATCGAGAGTTACGTAGGCGTTTCTCGTGTAGAAATCATTCCGACTGTCCAGTCGATTTCTCTGACGATCTCGGCGCCGAGCCCGAGTTCTCTATTAGTTGCTCTTTGAGCAAGCACGGCTGGCCATCGTTGCAATGCATTCGTGACATAAACCCTGAGGAAGGAATTTCACTGAATACCAAAACAAAATGTCTACGTACCAAATGAAACATTGGATACATCGATTATTACTCGAATAATGACAAGTGCGGCTCTGAGCCGCACTGGTAATGAAACGATTTAATACAACAATTCCACCGAGGAATATTTTCTATCTACTTTTATAAAAATTGTTTAAAACACAATATATTGTGATAAGAATTTGATAACGAGATTATGTAATTCCGCAATATCTTCTTACTGAATTCCATGTCGCTTATACCGCTTCTTATATTTGGTCGTCAAGAAATTTGAATTATTAAATTATAGATTCGGACTGATAAAAATTATCTTAACAAGTGAAAATATGCGAAATTACAAATCTAGGACTTCGCCGGAATTGAGCTCCTTCCTCGGCGTTGTCGTTGCATGTACTCGACTGTCGTCTGGGAATATCGATGATGGTTTAACCATTTTACCCTGATATTACGACAGAGAGAGGAAAAACAATGTGGATACTCTATCTTTCGGGTTTTTTTTCTCACAACGGTGCACCTACGTCGTTTCTCTCACTCTAATGCGACAATGTTCGACGCGACTGGTCGAGTTTCGTTCAACGCGAGGGTCTGTTGAGAAGCACAGTGAATTGCGCGAGATATGATGTCCGACCGTGCGCGTGACGAATAATGAGAATTACGATCTGAGAAAGAAATCTCACACGATGATTTTCAGAAGTGTTTCAATTTTCAAGTCGAGTTTTATGAAAGTTGCTACAATCGCGGAAATTCTGTTTTGTAATGATATGTAATATTTTGAGAACATATTTCTTCTTATATAAAAGTATTCAAAAGTAACAAATTATTCTTAAACGTAATTCAAGCTTTACACGATATCAGAAATATTGAATAAAAATAATAATAATTTTTCTTTATTGGAGCTTTGTAAATCTCGGGAAGTCATATTTTTGTATTTATATACGTCGCTTAATGTGTGTGTAATATAAGGCACTTTGCAATTGTGTTTATAGTAAAACGCATAATTTCACACAATGGCTTTCAACCACAGTCTTCAAGTAATTATGCTGTGTTGTTGAAGATATTAGAGCGACGGTCGGCGTACATTAATTGCGCAATCCAATTGATTTAACAAAACGCTTCCTCGATTCCACCCGATCACGACTCTCTCTCTCTCTCTCTCTCTCTCTCTCTTTCTCTTTTTCTCTCTGAACCTTTTCTCCCTCCTTTATGATAGAGCCTGTGATTCGTCACCTATGCACTCTTTTTTCATTCGGTCTTTTCACTTTTCTTCGGTACAACTTCCTCGTAGACACTTTGCCCGCTCGCCATTCCAACGAGACATCGTCATGCTCGAAAAGACGGGAGGCAATCGAGACCACGATAGAAGGCGAGCTTGTACGATAGAGAAACGTCCTACCTTAGAAGGCATGGGTTGCAGCATGTACATCCAACAGACAGCACCGTCAAATACAGTGAGAACCGGCCGACGAGCAGCGAGGATGACCTCGAGACCCCGGGAATTGTCTGAACCACGTGTGCGCGTGTTTTCCGAAACAGACAAATCCCAGATAAATGTAACTATTTTGTTAAGAAAAAAAAATATCTTAGAGTACTTGTAGATCGTGAAGGTAGACGAAATCGAAGGGTGAGAATATTCGAATTCCAATAGTACCACTCAGAAGTATCCGAGAGGAATTTCAAATTTTGGGACTGGAAATATATCGTAGTGCTTAAAGGTGCTTGAAAGAACGAGTTCCAAAAGTTCTAAACTTGTAAAGCTCAATAAGATAACATATGCACGATATGTAAGAGAGTTCGAGAAGCTAAGCGGTTCAAGAATCCGAAGATCACGGAATCAGAGGGCTGTGGGACTCCAAGGACCATTAGACTTTTTAGAGGGAAGTAAGTCTTTCGAGGGATTCGATGAATTAGGAAACCGAATCGCAAAATCTCCCTGACAAGGTAAAGATCGTGAAAAAGATCTTCTGGAAACGCGCGCGCACATTTGAGAGCGTAGACCACCATAGTGACGGAGTTTCCAGGCACTTAGAAGAGATATCAAGTCACACGTAGAAGAAAATGAAGTGGAGTGCATGGATTGTAGCGTTCACGAGGCTGTACGGTTTGCGGAAAGTCGTCGCGGAAAGATCTCACGTTTATCGCGGATCCAAATCCCTCTCGTGTCTAATAAAGATTCCTTTATCGTGTACGTTGATTTTGAGAATGTCTCACGGGTAAACTTTTCACTAACGATATAAAATACCTATTATTATGATTATTTTATTATACGGGAAATTATCCCTTCGGTACAAAGTTTTACGCAATTAGCCGGAGGAAAATATCCTAAACTAGTAATTCACAATATTATTTTCGACGCGTTCGTCTCGCGTGTTGACCGCAATTTTGCTCGCGCGAATCCCCGAACAGTTTCGGACAGTTTCGTCGCTCGACTTTCGAATGACCGTGCAACAACACCTTGCATGTCACTGCATGACTCTGTCGTTATTATTCTTCCGTGTGAACGAGTATCCCAATCACACGGAGTCACTGGTCGAAAGCGAACAGCGTTCGCGGTTTCCGTTCTTCATTTGATTTATTATTAAACGCACGACAACGTCACTTAAACTCGACGAGAAACTCTGAGTTCCGAGGATCCTCAAGGTTGAAAGTCGCGTGTGTGCTCGCGTGCTCCATCCTAACAATCTCGACCCAAAATCGACCCGTTGTTCCTTTCCACCGGTGGCTCGTCCACCACAACAACAACAACAACAACACTAACGAAAATAACAGTTATAACAACACTATGACAACTACATAAACCACCCACGATACCTTCCACCCCGACGAATGCAACGCAAGACAAACGAAAAGCAAAGCACAACGTGGGCCTTCAGCTTCGATCGTGCCGCAACTAACGAGCCTGTCCCGCCTATTGCAAAAAGCGCGCCTGGCTATCCGCTAATCTTGTAATCACTCGTCTCTCAATGTTACAAAGATCAAACAGACGGAACAGATCTCGACTATTTAGCAGAGGAAGCTGCTGAGCCACCGACTCGTGTTGCTCGAATTCGAGATGTATGCCAGTAATTCCAAGACTGCGCGTTTCGTCAAATATTTCTATTCGAATTTAAACACTTCGATTTCAAGCCAAATTTTGGTTTGTGCTTGATATGACGTCTCACTCTCTCGATCGGCACACGCGGAGTGTGCAAAGTGTGGATGAAGCGCTCGTGAAATAATTCCGTAATGTTTCACGAAACGCGAGTCACGATTCCTCGCAACTACGGCGTGCAGCGCGAATTGTAAGAGAAATATTGTTGGAAATTAATGATATATGCCGATCGCAATTCACGAGCGCACGGTGGTGACGCGCGATCCGCTGTCTCTGCTGAATGCAACCGCGGCTGGCACGTCCAGGCTGAACGCTCATGTCCTCACAGAGAGGCTTTCGAAGCGGAGCCTCTTGCCAAACAAACTTCGGTGCTCGCGTTACCGACAGCAAGCATACCGGCGTTTCTCTGGCAAGCCATGCGGCTCGTGTCGCGTCATTTGTTCATTGTCGCACGCGCGGCTGCGAGGCTACCTGTACACGTTTCTTTCCTTCACCGTTCCCGCTGTTGTTTCGTCCGGCATCCTTTGTGATCTGGCCGATCCGGCGCGCATTGCTTTTCACGTCGGACGTAAGTGCTCGTCGTGCGATCGAGGAAACTGCTCCTGTATGTGACATTGCACCGAGTGATTAACTTTAATGCTTGCGGCCGCTACCGCAAAATCATGTGGAACCGTTTCGATTTCCTTTCGCTTCGCACAATGTGGGTCTCTTAATTTTAAAAAATTACATTCTGAGATTTAGATCTGAGATCTAGATTTGAAATTTACATTTCGAATAATACGTCGAGCAAGGTTCATTTTATTTCCTTAAATATATTTATGCAGCAATGAAAATGTATGTTATAAAAACTAAGAGAAAAACGCTCACATTACCACTGTGGAGATCGGTGAAATTATCATTTCCAAAGAGACGGTGAATTGCTGGCTCCTGTTCGAGAGCGATTAATTAAATCAATGACTTTTCAATCCCGTTGACTTACAGTCAACATTAAAATGGCTAGGATGTTTCTTAAAGCACACGTAATGAGTTAATTGGGAATTTAATCTTCGCGATTAGCAACTTTCCCTTCCTTTGCAACGTCTCTGTCACAACTCTGACAAGTCGACAACAATATGACTAGTGAATGTCAGAAGATGCAAAGTGCGAATGGAGCACGTTCCTCGCTCCATGCCTGAGTCGCATCGGAGATACCGGCAATGTCGATTACCGAATCCACGCTTACTAATTGTAATCAATACTAAGCCTGGCCTCGCAGCCGAAAAGTATCCACGTATAGTTATTAAAACAGCCTATCTGCGATATGGATTACCTTAGCGTAGACATCGACGCAAGGACGAGTACAGATGTAAGAAACAATATCATGATCCTTTAACCAGTGAATCGACAAATTCGCCGCGTCGGAAAACGATACGTCAGTTTTGCGACGAAACCATACTAGGAAAAAAGTCCTATAAATGGGGAGAAGTGACCTCGAAGTGTCACGGTTAAAGGATTAATCATCGAGATATGTTTTACTTGCCATACATATGTATTGTATTTCTATATGAATACATAAGCAATTGTATGATTAATGTATATATAAGATAATCGAAAGATAGAGGTGTAACTCTTTCGTTTTATTATAATATAATGTATCACAACACGTTGTTCATGTTAGTCCTGTAAGTTTAAGAGTAAAAAGGCGATGTGTTAACAGTGAACGTTGAATATATTTTTGCTATCGCCTGCGTCGATGGAAGGTAAATAACGACGAGCACGTCGTTCTTTTAGGATCATTAATACAATTAATGTATTTTACCGTATTTCGGTAGAATTTGATCCAATTCTACGAATTTTCCGTCAAGTTTCGACTCAATTTCCCATCGATTGAATCCATCTCGACTGCATTCGATGAGCTACCGAAAAGAGAAATAATTGTTCAAAATATATTTATCTCACCTTGCTTTAATTAACGCAATATATTTCTTAATAAAAAATTTTAGTAAGTAGACTTTTAGGAAAATGACGACACCGCGCTTGTCGTAAAGCTCAATGATAAATCTTGTATGGATTCATGCTGTATGTTAAAGGATTAAATGTCCTATCAATCACAATTATCAACGATTTCTTTAAGTGTGAACATTATATTCGCTTGTCTGTTGACTTTTAATGATCACTTTGATAGTGCTAAGTATCGTTGAATGTCGATCTAAGTTCGATCAATCTCGAAATAATTTTAAAATGACGCGAAAGTCGATCCCGTTTTATAACATACCTTAGGATAAAATTCTAAATTAAGCTAATTAAAACACGCTGAATAAATCGATTATGAATTCAAAATAAAAGCGATGCCAATTAGATCAAATCCACCGATTTGTGTAATGTTTTGTACAGGGTTATATATATGATTATAATCTACAATTAATGGAGTTTTACGAAATTTACAATTTATCGCTGAAAATCCAGCAGTGTGAAATAAAACATGTATTTGTCATATCAAACATTTAAAAATTTTATCGTGATGTAAATCGTGATAAAAAAATAAATGGTAATAATATGAACATTTGAGATTTAGTGAGACAAAGGGAAAAGTGAAACAATTGTAAACATGAGATTTACGAATGGAAAAGGAGTCGCTAAACCGAATTTCTTCTGGTTTATATATGTAAAAATGATAAATAAATAAATGTTACAAATAATTTACATATCTTGTGTACGTACTCAATTAATTTCCACTTTACTAAAAACAAATAGTTTCCTACGTGACATTCCATCAATCTGTCGGATCTAGTTTCGTTTACAAATATCTGTCATAAGAATTCTTAGATTCGTATAAGACCATGCATTCGCATACATTTTAATGCACTTTTATATAGTGCAATTGTAAAAGCAGATATGGAATGAAATAATTAATACGCAACCAAGTATTTTGTCATATTGTGCATTTATTTAATTTCATACGGTTGCTGCAAATGTTGCATTCTACGCCTCCGTCATGGCAATCACTACAATCTTTCCAACGAATAACAGAGATCGCGCGAATATCGTGAACGAAAGAATTTACGAATGTATCGGTTACTTTTTCAAGTATCGCTCTTTACACATTTTCTTAGGATATTCGCGCTAAAAGTCAACGTTCTAATTTCTATAACTACATATGCATATAGTAATTTTATGAACAAGAAGTTTATAATTATATACCGTAAATTAACATTATCAACATAATAAAAATATACGCATCTACTTATACCCGATCTTTTCGTCAACTTCACGTCTTTTCATTTACGAACGTTCCATCAGTCGATCAAAATTGAAAGAGACGTCTCAGAAGTTCTTTGAGGTCCTTTCAAAAATTCCTACTAAGGAGAAAATTCTTCTTTCCTTTACGATCCCTGATTTTTCACGATTTCTCTCTCTTTCTCTCTCTCTCTCTCTGAGAATTCGTTCAAGGCGAGGCAACGTAACGAAGCATGCGCGTTTATTATTATGATTAATATGCGAATCAACGTCTAATCGCGAAAACGATCTCGAATCATCGGATTCTCGAGAGCATGAAAATGGCAATCAATCGAGTACGGTCGTCAACGTATGAAGAGTGTACACGTGACGCGTGCGAATCAATTTTTACTGGCGTTTAGAGTAGTGACCGCACTTTTGGCAGAACTCCTCTTTACCGTCGTCCTCTTCGTTCTCCCTACGTTTGATCGAATTCTCTCTTGAAACCCGAGCGGGATCCAGATCGCCCGTGTAAGGCCGATGACCGATAGCGGCTATAGTCTCGCTTCTAGGAATGCCTATGTCGGCAGAAGCGATGGCTATTGCGTTGTCGTCGTTGTCTTCCGCATCTATATTGACAATCGATCCGTTCAGCACCGCGTAACTAGAGCCGGTCTTCGAAATAGGTGGCTTCCTCTTGATAGCTTCGGAGTTATCGGAATCCTCCAAGTTCTCATGAGCAAACGATTCGTCTATAACAATCACGTTTTATTTCACAATATATTCCATTTACTTCGTTTACCCGATTATATTTTTATTAATTCATTAGGTCAGTCAGAAAGCTCGGCTTTGATTTTCAATTAAAACAATATCATGCATATGTAATACAGATAACAATGCTAATAATGTTCCGTTGTCAGAACATTGACGGAAGATCATAGATCAGAAACTACGGAGATTACTCGGTTGACAAATAATTTGTTTCCAATAAATTCGTTGGCGGTAAAGTTAAGTTCGATCAAAAGATCAAACCGAGTTTGTTTTGCCCAACATAATATTTCATTATTGCTATTATTTATCTCATTTTTTCCAATTGTTTCATTCATTTTCATTATATGAAGTGACCGAACAGATGCATACGCACCGTTATCGAATTCATCCGTTTTATCAATATCGGACGTTGACCCACACGTCCCGATGTAATCTTCATCTTCTTTCATTAACGGTAACTCGGAGGGAGGATCCGAGAGTGGACGGCTACAAACATACCCCTAAAAGAGAAAATATATAGAACATCGTTGAATATAATTTTGCTTTCCAGTTTATACGAATAAAATTATAAAAATAATAAATATTGAAAGAAAGGTGACTTTAGTATACCTGAACAAGATCCATACGAGAATCTAAAGAGAATTGCTTGCCTGACATCAATATACCGCGAATGCGACGACGCATAGCTGAAACAACAAAGACGAGATGTAAGTCGGATTATCAATCGGAGAAACATAGCGTATTGTGTGAATAAATGTCCCGCTTTTGAGGAGTTTTGTTGAACGGAAATGCATTCGAATCTCTTACTAGAGAATACTTGACTAAAATGTTTATTTAACTAAAATGTTTATCTAATGTTCTTTAACGTGTATAATTCTGATATATTTATAGCACCACTCACCCGGACTATCTCTCGCTTCGAGATGAATTTTCCCAAAAGTTTTCATGCATTCCTCAAATACTTCGGCTGCGTCGTATATAGCAGCGAAACTGCCGTTCACTATTTTCGGTGACATCGGTGAATTTGCCAGTAGCAAGCTCGATCCGAAATTTTCATTCTTCTGCCGCGTATCTGCGGATCGTCAAAATCATTTTTACGCATGATAATACCGTATTAGATATTATCGAATAAAACGTCTCTATTTATATTCCAATTGGATAGAATCGTTTGTGACTCACCTCCGAACAGTGTAATGTGTATCAAGTGGACGTGCAGTGTTCATAATAATAAAAGAATAAAAAAAGCAACATGTAAGAAGCACAGAAATATTTATTAACATTATCATCCATTATAAATTAACAAAAATAATAAATAGGAATCAATACGTACAAACTTAAGAAAATATTCTGAAAATAAAAACAAACATAAATATATAACTTTTCTTTAGCAAAACTTCAATAAAAAGCAATTAACGAATCTTATTATCTTTACATTTAAGTAAATAATATGAGAAAGGAAATTCCTTATATGATATTGATATTGTAAGTCTTCTACTAACTGATATAAATTAAGAAATGTCTATAAAACTATATGAATTATATACAACAAAAATATTTTGCACGAGTCAAGTACTTTATTTCAAATGGTAAAACACCGTCATCTTCGTGTAACCTTCATAACCGAATATTTTATATTCAATTTACTTTTTATTAATTTTTTTTCTTCTCTCCACTGGAAATTAATGATCAATAATTTTAATTTCTTATGATTGATATGTATACAGGGTATTTGAAAAGTCATAGAACGGTCCAAGATTTTAAGAAATAAACATTTCACAAAAAACTTGAAAAATCTTACCTTAAGGCTTTTGTACATAAAAGAATGAGGGAAATAGGTTAATGATACTA